TCTTCCCAATAGAGCTTTGTTAAACAGCTTTAGCTTCCTGATCCCCAAACCCCCCTTCTCCTTAGGAACACATAACTGCTCCCAGTTAACCAGATGTAATTTCTCCCCTCCAAAGGAAGGAAGTCTCTCTGGAGCTTCTCAATTCTTTGAGCTACTTTGACTGGAATTGGAAATAAAGATAGAAAATAAGCAGGAAGATTAGAGAAAGAGCTTTTTTAATAATATGCTCCAACAAATCTGATAAAATAGAATTGGGAAACCATCAGGGCCCGGGGCTCTATCTCCATCCATGCTAAAGACAACATCCTTCACTTCTTGATCTTGAAACTCTCTTTCTAACCACAGACTATTCTCCTCCAACAGTTTAAACCCTTCCCAAAAGCTTATGGAGAGTTTTATGTTTTCTTTCTTTGAGTAAAGATCTTTAAAGAATTATAAGAAAGCTTCAAAATTTTCCTTAGGGTCCTCCACTTCTCGTTGCCCGATTTTTAATTTTGTTAGAAGATTTCTTTTCCGCCTCCCATATGCATATATGTGGAAGAACCTGGAGTTATTGTCCCCCTCCTTTAACCATCTAACCCTAGATCATTGTCTCCAGTAAACTTCTTCTCTTCTTACTACCTGTTCCCATTCTTTTCTTAGCTCAAATCTTCTCCTTCTTTCGTTCTCATTTAGGTGCCCACTCTGCTCCTTTTGGTCTAACTCATCCAATTCGGATAGGATTGCTGATTTCTCTTCTTTGAAGGCTTTAAATTCCTCTTTGGCYCATCCTTTTAGCTTCGGGTAGGAGCTGAACTTTTTCCCCACTCGGAGAGACCTCAAAACCCTTCCATAGACCCTCATCCCCCACTTTCTGCACAAATAGAGTTAGAACTTCCATTACACAAATAAACAAAAGTGGAGAAAGAGGATCCCCTTGCCTCAATCCTCTAGAACTTTTGAATTAGCTGTAGATTGACCATTAAGCAAAACTGAGAACTTCGGAGAGGAAATACATACCTTAATCCAATTCCTCCATTTCTGCCCGAAGTTCATTTTCTTCAACACAAAGTCCAAACACTTCCAATTTACATGATCATACGCCTTTTCCAAATCCAACTTACAAAGCAGCCCTGGTTTACCTTCTCTTATTCTTGGTGAAAGTCATGGAACACCTTTAGCAGATCCCCTTTCACCCCCTCCCAACACTGTTTATAGAAGATGTTAGTTAAACCATCTGGCCCTGGAGATTTCTCAGTTTCCAAGTTTTTTATCACCTGCCATATTTCATTTTCTGTGAAGGGAGCTTCTAATTCCCTTTGCTGATACACAGAAAGTCTGAGAAGAAAAGGCCTCCTTACCCAGTTTTCTTTAAACAACTCTGAGAAGAAATTAGTGGCAATGTGTTTCATTTCTATCCATTCTTCACCCACTTGCCCTCCCCATTCAGGTCTCTCAAATTGATTTACTCTTTTTCTTGCCTTTTCCATTTTGTTAAAGAAGCTGGAGTTCTTATCCCCCGCTTTAAGCCACTTAACCTTAGCTCTTTGCCACCACTTTAACTCATCCTTGTATGCTATAGAATCCAAAGTCACTTTGGCCAAAAGTCTCTTCCTTCTCTCTTCCTCTCTAAGGGACCCCATTTCTTCAGCCGAATCCAGATCTTTTATTACCTCTAGGCACTTACTCTTCTCCATTTCAGTCTTTCCTTGAAAATCCACTTTCCAAGATTTCAGCACTTCTTTTATTCCTTTGATCTTTTTAGCCAAGATGAAAGAGCCGGTACCCTCCACTTGGAAATCTGCCCATTTCGACAAAAACAAAGGAACCAACTCTTTCTCTTAAAACCAAGCATTTTCCATCTTGAAGGGGGGTTTGCTTCTCACCTGATTTTCCAACTTCCCACATAGCAACTGAATTGGAGAATGATCCGATATAGGTTTAGGAAGAYCCACTTGTTTTATTTGCTGGAACGCCTCTTCCCAACTCATGGAAACTAAAAATCTGTCAAGTTATACCAGAATCGGGGATTCTTGATTATTTGTCCAGGTGTATTGAGCCCCCATAAGAGGCAGGTCTAAAAGTTCAGATCGATTCACAAAATCAGCAAATCTTCTTCTATCCCTCAATCTCTGAGTACCACTACTTTTTTTCCTCTGAAAATCTCACTACATTGAAGTCTCCTCCAACAACCCAAGGCAGGTTAGAGTTACCTCTGGCTACTAACAGTTCCTCCCACAACCTCTCCCTACCATTTGTGTAGTTCTCTCTCTATGAATACAAAACCCATAAACATGGAGAAAATTATGCCACTCAATGACAGATGAAACACCCAAAACTTTTTCCTTGCAGACTTCAGTAGTTCAACCATAAGATTCATAACCATTATTCCTTTTTGTTCATGTTCTGTTATACCATTCACATGTTGCTGGTCCACTACCTATCTCAGTCTCCAACAATGTTTTGAAAATCATAATCGTATCATAAATCATAGAGAAAGTTGAATTGAATCGAATCATGAATCTACATAAATCGTAAGATTTTTTCTATTTTTTACAAATTTGTCAAAATTAAATATAGATATATTAAAATGCTAAATATATATAGGAAAGTGACTTTACCCTATTTTTAATCTATATCTACTATATATGTACCTAAACGATAGAATTTACCAGCTATACAATAGAAGCTTAAGATGATATAACCAAGTTTGACTTGAAAAACAAACAAATCCACACACAAGGGCTCTTTAACCTACATATGATGGAAAATAAACTCAATTTCTAGTCTTAAATAACATAAATAAATCATTTTCTAGTAAAGGCTTTAAAAAAAGTCTCCCTTAGCAAAACTAAAAATAAACAAAAAAAAACAAAGTAGAAAACTATCTCAATTGAATTTATTTGAATCGTAGAAATCATATGGTTTGTGAATAAAATCGTAGGATCCAAGCAAAAATCATAACAATTTTGCAGAAAATGATTCAAACATAAGATTCGAATCAAAACCCTTGAGATTCATGATTCTAATTGTGAATCATATCATAAATTGTAAGATTTTGACAGCATTGGTCTCCAGCAGTAAGGATGATGACTGATAAGTTATGACTCTGTTGGGAATATTAGGAGAAGGAATATGACTCTGTTGGGAAAGTGGTTGTGGAGATTCCCATTGGAGAAGGAGAAGCTTTGGGCTAGAATAGTGGCAAGTATTCATGGGCTGGAGCATAATG